CCCCCCATACATAATACGGGCCCCCACATCATCCGGGGACCCCCCCAAACATAATACGGGCCCCCACATCATCCGGGGACCCCCCCATACATCATCCGGGAACCCCTCATACATAATACAGGCCCCCACATCACCCGGGACCCCCCCTGTACATAAACTGGGACCCCACATCATCCGGGGACCCCCCTATACATAATCCGGGGCCCCCCTGTACATAATCTGAGAAGACTGGGGACCCCCCCATACATCCTCCGGGGACCCCCCATACATAATCTGAGAAGACTGGGGACCCCCCCATACATCCTCCGGGGACCCCCCATACATAATCTGAGAAGACTGGGGACCCCCCCATACATCCTCCGGGGACCCCCCATACATAATCTGAGAAGACTGGGGACCCCCCCATACATCCTCCGGGGACCCCCCATACATAATCTGAGAAGACTGGGGACCCCCCCATACATCCTCCGGGGACCCCCCATACATAATCTGAGAAGACTGGGGACCCCCCCATACATCCTCCGGGGACCCCCCATACATAATCTGAGAAGACTGGGGACCCCCCCATACATCCTCCGGGGACCCCCCATACATAATCTGAGAAGACTGGGGACCCCCCCATACATCCTCCGGGGACCCCCCATACATAATCTGAGAAGACTGGGGACCCCCCCATACATCCTCCGGGGACCCCCCATACATAATCTGAGAAGACTGGGGACCCCCCCATACATCCTCCGGGGACCCCCCATACATAATCTGAGAAGACTGGGGACCCCCCCATACATCCTCCGGGGACCCCCCATACATAATCTGAGAAGACTGGGGACCCCCCCATACATCCTCCGGGGACCCCCCATACATAATCTGAGAAGACTGGGGACCCCCCCATACATCCTCCGGGGACCCCCCATACATAATCTGAGAAGACTGGGGACCCCCCCATACATCCTCCGGGGACCCCCCATACATAATCTGAGAAGACTGGGGACCCCCCCATACATCCTCCGGGGACCCCCCATACATAATCTGAGAAGACTGGGGACCCCCCCATACATCCTCCGGGGACCCCCCATACATAATCTGAGAAGACTGGGGACCCCCCCATACATCCTCCGGGGACCCCCCATACATAATCTGAGAAGACTGGGGACCCCCCCATACATCCTCCGGGGACCCCCCATACATAATCTGAGAAGACTGGGGACCCCCCCATACATCCTCCGGGGACCCCCCATACATAATCTGAGAAGACTGGGGACCCCCCCATACATCCTCCGGGGACCCCCCATACATAATCTGAGAAGACTGGGGACCCCCCCATACATCCTCCGGGGACCCCCCATACATAATCTGAGAAGACTGGGGACCCCCCCATACATCCTCCGGGGACCCCCCATACATAATCTGAGAAGACTGGGGACCCCCCCATACATCCTCCGGGGACCCCCCATACATAATCTGAGAAGACTGGGGACCCCCCCATACATCCTCCGGGGACCCCCCATACATAATCTGAGAAGACTGGGGACCCCCCCATACATCCTCCGGGGACCCCCCATACATAATCTGAGAAGACTGGGGACCCCCCCATACATCCTCCGGGGACCCCCCATACATAATCTGAGAAGACTGGGGACCCCCCCATACATCCTCCGGGGACCCCCCATACATAATCTGAGAAGACTGGGGACCCCCCCATACATCCTCCGGGGACCCCCCATACATAATCTGAGAAGACTGGGGACCCCCCCATACATCCTCCGGGGACCCCCCATACATAATCTGAGAAGACTGGGGACCCCCCCATACATCCTCCGGGGACCCCCCATACATAATCTGAGAAGACTGGGGACCCCCCCATACATCCTCCGGGGACCCCCCATACATAATCTGAGAAGACTGGGGACCCCCCCATACATCCTCCGGGGACCCCCCATACATAATCTGAGAAGACTGGGGACCCCCCCATACATCCTCCGGGGACCCCCCATACATAATCTGAGAAGACTGGGGACCCCCCCATACATCCTCCGGGGACCCCCCATACATAATCTGAGAAGACTGGGGACCCCCCCATACATCCTCCGGGGACCCCCCATACATAATCTGAGAAGACTGGGGACCCCCCCATACATCCTCCGGGGACCCCCCATACATAATCTGAGAAGACTGGGGACCCCCCCATACATCCTCCGGGGACCCCCCATACATAATCTGAGAAGACTGGGGACCCCCCCATACATCCTCCGGGGACCCCCCATACATAATCTGAGAAGACTGGGGACCCCCCCATACATCCTCCGGGGACCCCCCATACATAATCTGAGAAGACTGGGGACCCCCCCATACATCCTCCGGGGACCCCCCATACATAATCTGAGAAGACTGGGGACCCCCCCATACATCCTCCGGGGACCCCCCATACATAATCTGAGAAGACTGGGGACCCCCCCATACATCCTCCGGGGACCCCCCATACATAATCTGAGAAGACTGGGGACCCCCCCATACATCCTCCGGGGACCCCCCATACATAATCTGAGAAGACTGGGGACCCCCCCATACATCCTCCGGGGACCCCCCATACATAATCTGAGAAGACTGGGGACCCCCCCATACATCCTCCGGGGACCCCCCATACATAATCTGAGAAGACTGGGGACCCCCCCATACATCCTCCGGGGACCCCCCATACATAATCTGAGAAGACTGGGGACCCCCCCATACATCCTCCGGGGACCCCCCATACATAATCTGAGAAGACTGGGGACCCCCCCATACATCCTCCGGGGACCCCCCATACATAATCTGAGAAGACTGGGGACCCCCCCATACATCCTCCGGGGACCCCCCATACATAATCTGAGAAGACTGGGGACCCCCCCATACATCCTCCGGGGACCCCCCATACATAATCTGAGAAGACTGGGGACCCCCCCATACATCCTCCGGGGACCCCCCATACATAATCTGAGAAGACTGGGGACCCCCCCATACATCCTCCGGGGACCCCCCATACATAATCTGAGAAGACTGGGGACCCCCCCATACATCCTCCGGGGACCCCCCATACATAATCTGAGAAGACTGGGGACCCCCCCATACATCCTCCGGGGACCCCCCATACATAATCTGAGAAGACTGGGGACCCCCCCATACATCCTCCGGGGACCCCCCATACATAATCTGAGAAGACTGGGGACCCCCCCATACATCCTCCGGGGACCCCCCATACATAATCTGAGAAGACTGGGGACCCCCCCATACATCCTCCGGGGACCCCCCATACATAATCTGAGAAGACTGGGGACCCCCCCATACATCCTCCGGGGACCCCCCATACATAATCTGAGAAGACTGGGGACCCCCCCATACATCCTCCGGGGACCCCCCATACATAATCTGAGAAGACTGGGGACCCCCCCATACATCCTCCGGGGACCCCCCATACATAATCTGAGAAGACTGGGGACCCCCCCATACATCCTCCGGGGACCCCCCATACATAATCTGAGAAGACTGGGGACCCCCCCATACATCCTCCGGGGACCCCCCATACATAATCTGAGAAGACTGGGGACCCCCCCATACATAATCTGGGGCCCCCCCTGTACATAATCTGAGAAGACTGGGGACCCCCCATACATAATCTGGGCCCCCCCATACATAATCCGGGGCCCCCCCTGTACATAATCTGAGAAGACTGGGGACCCCCCCATACATAATCCGGGCCCCCACATCATCCAGGGACCGAAGCCTGACTGTACATAATCTGAGAAGACTGGGGACCCCACATCCGCCGGGAACCCCCCCATACATAATCCGGGCCCCCACATCATCCGGGGACCCCCCATACATAATCCGGGCCCCCACATCATCCGGGGGCCCCCCATACATAATCTGGGCCCCCCCAAACATAATCCGGGGCTACCCCCCATACATAATCCGGGGCCCCCCCGTACATAATATGAGAAGACTGGGGACCCCCCCATACATAATCTGGGCCCCCACATCATCCGGGGCCCCCCCCATACATAACCCGGGCCCCCACATCATCCGGGGACCCCCCTATACATAATCCGGGGCCCCCCCGTACATAATCTGAGAAGACTGGGGACCCCACATCCGCCGGGAACCCCCCCATACATAATACGGGCCCCCACATCATCCGGGGACCCCCCCATACATAATACGGGCCCCCACATCATCCGGGGACCCCCCCATACATAATCCGGGGCCCCCCTGTACATAATCTGAGAAGACTGGGGACCCCCATACATAATCCGGGGCCCCACCCTGTACATAATCTGAGAAGACTGGGGACCCCCCATACATAATCCGGGGCCCCCCCTGTACATAATCTGAGAAGACTGGGGACCCCCCATACATAATCCGGGGCCCCCCCTGTACATAATCTGAGAAGACTGGGGACCCCCCATACATAATCCGGGGCCCCCCCTGTACATAATCTGAGAAGACTGGGGACCCCCCATACATAATCCGGGGCCCCCCCTGTACATAATCTGAGAAGACTGGGGACCCCCCATACATAATCCGGGGCCCCCCCTGTACATAATCTGAGAAGACTGGGGACCCCCCATACATAATCCGGGGCCCCCCCTGTACATAATCTGAGAAGACTGGGGACCCCCCATACATAATCCGGGGCCCCCCCTGTACATAATCTGAGAAGACTGGGGACCCCCCATACATAATCCCGGGGCCCCCCTGTACATAATCTGAGAAGACTGGGGACCCCCCATACATAATCCGGGGCCCCCCCTGTACATAATCTGAGAAGACTGGGGACCCCCCATACATAATCCGGGGCCCCCCTGTACATAATCTGAGAAGACTGGGGACCCCCCATACATAATCCGGGGCCCCCCTGTACATAATCTGAGAAGACTGGGGACCCCCCATACATAATCCGGGGCCCCCCCTGTACATAATCTGAGAAGACTGGGGACCCCCCATACATAATCCGGGGCCCCCCTGTACATAATCTGAGAAGACTGGGGACCCCCCATACATAATCCGGGGCCCCCCTGTACATAATCTGAGAAGACTGGGGACCCCCCATACATAATCCGGGGCCCCCCCTGTACATAATCTGAGAAGACTGGGGACCCCCCATACATAATCCGGGGCCCCCCTGTACATAATCTGAGAAGACTGGGGACCCCCCATACATAATCCGGGGCCCCCCTGTACATAATCTGAGAAGACTGGGGACCCCCCATACATAATCCGGGGCCCCCCTGTACATAATCTGAGAAGACTGGGGACCCCACATCCGCCGGGAACCCCCCCATACATAATCCGGGCCCCCACATCATCCGGGGACCCCCCATACATAATCCGGGCCCCCACATCATCCGGGGGCCCCCCATACATAATCTGGGCCCCCCCAAACATAATCCGGGGCTACCCCCCATACATAATCCGGGGCCCCCCCGTACATAATATGAGAAGACTGGGGACCCCCCCATACATAATCTGGGCCCCCACATCATCCGGGGACCCCCCCATACATAATCCGGGCCCCCACATCATCCGGGGCCCCCCCTGTACATAATCTGAGAAGACTGGGGACCCCCCATACATAATCCGGGGCCCCACATCATCTGGGCCATTTCCCTCATAGTTGGATGCCCTCATAGTTGGATTCCCTCATAGTTGGATGCCCTCATAGTTGGATGCCCTCATAGTTGGATTCCCTCATAGTTAGGGCCCTCATAGTTGGATGCCCTCATAGTTGGATGCCCTCATAGTTGGATGCCCTCATAGTTGGATTCCCTCATAGTTGGATGCCCTCATAGTTGGATGCCCTCATAGTTGGATTCCCTCATAGTTAGGGCCCTCATAGTTGGATTCCCTCATAGTTAGGGCCCTCATAGTTGGATTCCCTTATAGTTAGGGCCCTCATAGTTGGATGCCCTCATAGTTGGATGCCCTCATAGTTGGATGCCCTCATAGTTGGATGCCCTCATAGTTGAATGCGCCCCCCTTCCTATCCGTAACCTGTTATGGACCCCCCTCCCCCCTCTTCTCGTCCCCTCATTCAATACACTGCTGGTCTTATACCCCCCCCATCTCCGGTATTTGTGGGACTCCCTCTTATGAGGACACGTCGGCGTTTCTATGGCGGTCCCGTAGGAGCCCTTTTTATATCCTAGACCTGTTGTTATCTATAAATGGTATCAAATCCTTCACCTCCGCACCCACTGGCGTGCCCCTCTTGCAGAGAACTTCCGATACTTGCAACTCCACAGTTATGTCAGATCTCTCCTTTGGCACTGTGCAGGTTGTCCGCGCAACCTGACTTCCTTTGAAATGCGTTGTTGGTGGGATTCCCATTCTGCAGGCCTTATTTCTCGTTGGTGCCATCCGTTGGGGAAAATAAACTTTCTTACATGCTAGCCTGGGAAAGGGATCTGGGAGACTCCTTAGACCGCTGGTACATGACCCCAGATAGGATATCAAAGTTTGCTCCTGCAGTATCACCCCGCTGCTTCCGGGACTGCGAGACCAGGGGTACTCTGTTTCATATCTGGTGGCGGTGTCCGAAGGTGCAGAGGTTGTGGATCAGGGTCTATAATTTACTGAAATCAGTCTTCAACAAATCCTTTGTTCGCAACCCTTGGGAGGCTCTCTTGGGCAGGCCAATTACACGCCTTTCAAGGAGGGATAGGAAATTAGCAACTTTTATTTTTTTGGCAACACCCCCCCCCCCCCTTGCCGAGAACTTCTGATACTTCACAGTTACGTCAGATCTCTCCTTCGGCACCGTCCGGGGTGTCCGCGCAACCTTACCCCCTTCGAAACGCGTTGTTGGTCGCATCCCCATTCTGCAGGCCTCATATCTCTTCTACATGCCGTCCGTAAGGGGTACAAAAACTTTCCTACACGCTGGCCTGGGAAAGGGATCTGGGAGACTCTTTAGACCAGTGGTTCTCAAACTGTGGGTCGGGACCCAAAGTTGAGGGGGTCCCCACGTGCCTTGTGCTGCTCCTCAGCCTCCTCCTGGGGTGGCAGTGTCAGTTCTCCTAGGTGGCGTTGCAGCGACCGGAGAGGATCAGAGAGAGGGGAGCAGGCAGGAGTGAGGGGAGGTGAGTGCTCCATCACCATAGATGCCACCTGAGAGCCCGCATAGCCTTCTGAGAGCCCACAGATACTAGTATTGGTGCATCCCTAAATGTTACCGTTGGGGGTCACCACAACTTGGCAGATGTTACCAAGGGGTCCCGGCCCTAGAAAGGTTGAAAACCGCTGCTTTAGACCCTCATACATGGACCGAGATATGGCTTGCTGCGGCAAAGTGTTCACCCAATGCCTTGGCCCAGGAAAACGCCCACAAGGTCCCGTTCCGCTGGTACACGGCCCCTGACAGGATATCAAAGATTGCTCCTGCTGTATGACCCCGCTGCTTCCGGGGCTGCCAGGCCGGGGGCGCTCTGTTTCATATCTGGTGGCAGTGCCCAAGGGCGCAGAGGTTGTGGATTAGGGTCTATCATTTACTGAGATCCGTCTTCAACAAATCCTTTGTTCGCAACCCTTGGGAGGCCCTCCTGGGCAGGCCAATCACGTGCCTTTCTAGGAGGGATAGGAAATTAGCAACCTTTCTTTTTTCGGCAACTAGACAGACTACTGCCAAAGCTTGGAAACAACCAACGCTGAATGTTTCGGAAGTTAAGCAACGAGTCATGGGTACAGGGCCGCCATCAGAGGGGTACAGCCGATACTCTTGTAAGGGGCCTGGGCAGCCAGGGGGGGCCCACCCGGGACCCTTACATGAGTATCGGCCGACGGTGAAGGGCGGGGAGGCGGCCAGGCCCCCACAGCAGCGGTGGAGGCCTGGCCCTAGCAGCGCAGGGGCCCAGCATTGCCGCTCCAGCGGCTTTGAGACAAGCTACTGTGTTTTGTTGAGCGTTCGTCGTGCGTAGAACCCGCTACAAAACGTTCCGGTGTGAACGAGGGCTAAAGCCGTGTAAGGGGCCCCAAAATTTCTGATGGCTGCCCTGCATGGGTATCATGGTACATGAGAAGCTCACGGCTATCCTTCACGACTCCTATTCCTCTCTCCAGACAACGTGGTCACCCAATGGACCCAGATTGTAATTTACTGGCCCTCTGACCAGAACTTGCTCCATCGGAGTGCTGTGGTCCCCCTTGATTCCCTCTGCAGTCTGTCTCTCCCCTCCTCCTCAGGTTCTTGTAGTTTTCCCTAAAGCTGGAAGCCCACGCCATGGATTGCCCGCACAGTCTGTAGCCCTTTCCTCTTTTCCCGTGTGGGCTCGCTGGCAGCACCGGGACGCTGAGGACACCTCCTCAGGTTTTCAGACAATTTGATTGGATTCAAATGTTATGCCTATGTCTCTTTTTTTTCTTCTACTCCCTACCCTGCGGCCGGCCTACCCTGGGTCTCTATTGGGCTTTAGAACTGTTCTGATGTTTTGCCATACGGACCTTCGTGTCCTTTCTTTGGATGTCATTGACATCTGAACCTTCTCAATCAAAATGTTTCTACAACAAAATGATGCGCTTGACAAATTCAAGAAAATCTGGGAACAATGGATTGAGTCTTACATGCTCCTTCCATAGGGACTCTCTGTTCCCCCGATCATCTCCTAAGGGTTAACCCTAACCCCAACGTCTTTGTGCACTATTCTTTCTCCCATCCCCGCCCCCTCCTACTGATCCCTCTTCTCCCGTCCCCGCCCTCTTTCTTCTATGGCGGTGATGAGGGACTCATGGTACCTCGCCCTATGGATGGGGGGCATTTAGTTCTGCTCCCTGTACTGATATTTGCGGACGGTTTGTACAACTATCACACATGAAGAGGACTGGAGACGCTCCGACACGACAACGTGACCGACTACCAATGATAAATGAGATCCCCCATACACCCCCCTAGGGGGCACATCTGACGTCCCGATCCAAAGGGGTTACATTACACAAAGGTCCTCCGCTTACCGGTCCATGACGCCTCCCGAATCTCCGCTCCTTCCACGATTAGGAGCCAACGAATCCAGTTCATCAAAAAATATAATGCACGGCGCCGCGGCACGAGCCCGGGAGAAGACTGAGGAAGAGATCACAACCAGATGGGTCAGGTGACTGTGTCGGGGCATTACAACTGGTCAGAGAGAGAGAGAAGAGAGAGGGCACTATCATACTGGGACCAGTACAGAAGAGGGCG